GCATCACTTGCAATAATTACATGTGTTATTTACTTACTAATCAATTAATCGTGGCACCAGTCCATGTTATACCCCTGATACTTTATTAAAATTTGTTGGAATATGGTTCCAAAATTATCTCACGTGAGGATGAAGGAATTCGATGCAATTAAGATGACGTTTTCTATTTTCTGTCACCCTCGGTATCCTCTGATGCTACGACGAATATAGTAGTTTTTTTTTGTTGCAAAATGGTCAGGCTTAATCCCTTTATTGTTGTTTTTATAAAAACAACGTTTGTTTATTGTTGAGAACGATAGTATTCCCTGTCTTACCCTTCTGGTAAACATTACCATCGTTTATAAAACGTTGTATTTATAAAAACAACAATAAAGGGATTAAGCCTGACCATTTTGCAACAACATAAGTTTAATGTAATTAAAAAAAAATTTTGAATTGCGTAATGGAAATCAGTAATGTGTTTTGCCCAGTTTAAGCTCAATTGATTTCTTAAAACATAGTAATGCTGACCAAGTTTTTCCTTGATTCTGGAATTGATGAAAAGAGGAGAAAGTTTTGCGTTGAAGGATTTTTCGGAATTAATATGGGCGAAGTTCCTTCTGAAGTCTTCTTGACCTATACTAAAAGTAATTGGTCTTGTCCTCAAATTATATTGAGCCTGATTTTAGTGGTAAACATCAGAAATATGCTTTCTAATTTTTGACCTTAATAACTTTATAGTGCCATCTCGGGGAAGAATGTTGCATGGTTCGTCCAACATTTACAACTTTCGGAGGAGCTGATATGAGGTCCCGTTTGTGACAATATCGAAACCGAACAACACATAATATGGGGAATATTTCGTTGCCTGGTGTACAGAGTTTCTCAAAACACAACTAATCGAGCTAAGATTATCGTCCCACAGTCGATGAACCTCTTTAAAAAGTGACCTAATACCCGCTAAAATCGAACGATTGACACGTTCAGATGCGTTTGATTGGGCTGAGTATTTAGCAGTATATATATGGGAGATGCCTAAACTCGTGAGAAATGTATAGAATTTAATGCACTTAAATTGCCAGCCATTGTCACTAATTAATATTTCTGGCACTCCGTACAGGTGCAATATTTGGGTCAATAAAAATTCTTGAATTGCAGAGAAGGTAAATTTTCTTAGTGGGCAAAGCGAAAACTTATCTAAAACGTCTCCAATCGTGTCTGGCCAAAAGAAACTTCTCCTAATAAGGTCTAAGGTTTTAACATACATCCATGGCAAGCTGTGAGACCGTTGTGAAATCTGATTATTAGATTTTTTTCGCATATTCAAAGGTATCCACAGCTTCCACGTTTAATAATCTTGATCTGCATCACCGTTATAGTGCTCAGTCCGAATATATAAAAAGTTGTCAATAATTTGGTTGGTTGGGACAGAGCGTCAGGCACTATGTTGTCTTTTCCTTTACGTTGACTGAAGGTGAATTTGAAGCCATCTCGCAAATCTACCGATAAGATCTTGTTATTTCATTAACCAGACCAAGCTAGAATGATCGGTTATGATTTCAAAGGGCTGAAATTCAACATAGCACCTAAACTTCTTTAGCGCCTCTATGGGTGTTGAAGTCAAAAGCTTCTTGATGGCATTAAATGCTTCATCAGCTTCTTTTGTCCAAGAGAAGTTTTTTTTTGTTGAAAGAATCTCAATAATAGGATAGACTCTAGAAGAAAATTTCTCTATAAAGCGTTTATAGCATACAGAAAGACCTTAAAAAGACATTAAGATTCTTTGGAATTGGCCAGGAAAGAATACAGTCTACCTTATCCGGATCGGTCTTTAGACCTCCATGTCCTATAATATACCCTAAATATTTTGTTTCAGTCACGCAGAAGTGGGTTTTATTAACTTTAATGGTCAAATTTGCCTTCCTAAGTTGTTCGGTGATTCTCATTAGGATCATGATATGGGATAGAAAATCTTTAATAATCAGGTCATCGAGATGACCAAAAACGCATATTTTTAAGTCTGCAGGTATTAATTCATCCATCAGTCGACTCATGGTCTGAGGAGCGTTACACAGTGCGAATGGTATGACCACAAACTGGTACAGTGGTCTACCAGGGTCTGTGAACGCTGTCAGAGGTTTTGCTCGGTCTGTTACGCCGATTTGCCAGAAGACGTTTTTCAAATCAATCTTGGATATCAAATTGGCCTTGGGCAATCGGGCAAATATCCCATCAATTTTAGGAAGGGAGTGGGCATCCTTTATAGTGACCGAATTTATTTTTCGTGCATCCAGATACAGAGGACTTTATTGGGCTTGAGTACTAGCTTCATCGGACTACTCCAAGGAGAAGCGGAAGGTTCTATTACTCCTAAATCTAACATTCCTGCGATCTCTTTATAAATAATGTCTTCTACTGCCGGGGAAACAGGATAAATCTGTTGCTTGACTTGGCACCACCTACGTCAATGTCATGCTTAATCAAGCTGGTTCTATCTAGTCCTTGTTTCTCGGAGTTGTTAAATAATGCTTTGAAAGTTTCCAGTTGCTGAAGTTGGGTAGTAAAAGGGTATTGGCTTGGATTTGATCTTTCAGATTCTATATTTTCAAAATCGTACGACATTTCGGACTTGAAATCGGACAGGGAGAAAGTTGGAATTTCTTCCAAAAATCTACTCCTAGTATGAGACGCTGACTAAGCGATGGAACGATTAATATACGCAGATTTTCTGTATGATTGCGGAAGGAAACATTAATGTCAATGAACCCAGTGACCTTTTGCCGTTTTCCATCGACGGTTCTGACGTTAGACTTGAAGTCGTGAAATTCTGTTAGGTATGAAAAATCATATTGCGCTAATTCTGCATCTGACGTTTGCGCCAGTGTCTAAAAGTCCGAGTTCTTTAAAATGTAAAAAAAGGAAACCTTTGCGTAAAGCCTTTGATCCTGTGGACCATGGACAATACTGGAGATGATGTATTTGGAAATAATTTTTCTAGCTTTGGATCGTTTTGGCTTTCTACTTTTTTCCAAAATAATATCTGAATTTTCAAAAATTTCATCTCTTTTTCTAATCTGACCATCTTAGATGGTAAGGACGAATTGGATGATAATATATCTGGCAAGGGTTTTGAAAGCTAAAATTTTCCGTCGTCAAAATTATTACTGAGTTTTCATCTAAAATATTATATTTATTAAAGTCTGGATTGTTATTTTCGATATTAGACTGGTTCTGATGATTTGAATTCAGTTTTTGGATGCTATTGTAAGTTTTTTGAATGATGTTGTTGATGTAAGTTTTTTTTACCAAATTTTTTTTGGTTGTGCATCTTATTTGGCTTATAAGTATTCTCAGCTCCGCAGCCATAGCAAAAATGGTTCTTTCCTCTAAGCAATCTTCCCAAAAGTGACCAGATTCTTTGCAGTTCCAACATTTGAGTGCCGAAGTACCAGCTGTAATGTCATTTGACACATTAGAATCCATTGAAGTTTCATGATAGAAATCTAATTCTGCGACAGTTTTACGAGGATGTGTGTTACACATCGTTTGCCTTACAGGAAACTGACGTCGAGAACTCTCATCTTTTAACAGATTTTCACGCATCTGCACTAGCTTCCTGAGATGTGCAGAGAAAGGGACATAAAAACTTTCAAAAGTTTCTCAAAAAAATTTGGCAATACGAAATAAACATTTTTCAATAAAACTAACCAGTGTTGGCGAATAATTTCAAATCATCAGGGGCTATTGTCCGAGGCCGAGGAGTTGCAGACGTCGCAATAGTGACAAGATTGGATTTGGACAGAACTCCTACCCTCTAAACCAGTAACAGCATAACCTCAACAGTAGCCACACGTAAGTAATAATATGGATTCTCCCTCTCATCAGGTTGAACTACATAACCTCAACGTCACCAATGATGTATTATAAGTATCAACGGTAATATTCTATGGTGCCAGAACTGCAAAAAACCATACCACGAATCGTGCAGCAAAGTTTCTAAGCCAGCAGAAAAATTTGCGTGTGCCACGTGCCCCCAAAATTCCACCAAATATTGTCGGTCCATTGATGGTACACAGTCATCGTGGGACTCAAACAACTCAGCAAGCAGAAAATTCGCTCTTGCGTTAAAACGCTTAGATAAGGAGAGAGAACTAGCTAAAAAACGTGAGCAGGAATATCTGGCCAAAATATATCACTTGCTTCACGAAACGATGGATAATGAAGATTCACCAAATATACAGATAACGGCCGAACGAAGAACAATAAATGACGATGATGTTCAACAGAATATGGGTAACCTAACTTCAATCAACACGTCACACACCGCGCCTCTTATGACAACCAATCAATCTTACAGGTTTCCTACCAGTGGTCACGATTCAAACACATTTTATACATCCCGTTTCACTGAACCGATATTTAACCTGCACTCAACCAGATATCAAAATAATACAAATCAGAATCAAGCTGCAGCATATAACAGCTCTCAGCAACAACAATCGTTCATAATCTCTAGGCCGACGGACAGTGCTCCACAGCTAAACTTTGAAGAGCAACAGCCATCCACTCATCGAAGGCTTACACCTAGTCAACTGCAAGCCCGTCAAACCGTACCTAAAGAACTGCCCGCATTCTCTGGCTCACCGGAGGAATGGCCATTATTTAGTTCTAGTTATGACTGGTCAACATCTGTTTGTGGCTTGACAGACGCCGAGAACCTTATAAGGTTACAGCGGGCACTTCGAGGAGACGCACTGGAGTCCGTAAAACGAATACTAATCCACCCTTCATGTGTTCCCCACGCAATTTCAATTCTGAGAGTTCTGTACGGTCAGAGAACATATTGAATTCTCTCAAAAATAAAATCAGAGCACTGCCACAGCTAAACCCAAATAAAATGATACAATTACAAATTTTGCCGTTCAAGTTAAAGGTTTACAATCGACTATTGAAGCTTGTGGTTTGGATGATGATTTAAACAATTCGTCTCTGCTTTACGACCTTCTATCGAAACTCCCATCTTACTTCTAAATTAACTAAATTAACGGCAAAATGGCGAATTTAGTAGAGTGGATACTTGACATTAGATTATCAACAAGTACGGTAAACATAGGTAATGCATATACGCCCCCTTCATCTTCTTAACTTATTCGTAAAGAGAAAAATTCCTTTGTACATACCCATGTTGAGATGAAGAGAAAAAATGTTTAATATGTGAAAAAGAGTGTGATAACATAGCGAAATGCAAAACATTTGTCACAGCTGATCGAAAAACGAAATGGGAATTCGTTAAAAAGCTCCAATTATGCAAACATTGCTTAAAGAGGCACTCTCTTGTTTGCTATAACAAAAACAAAATGTGTATTGTTGATGGCTGTCACATAAAGCATCATGACTTACTGCATGGTGATAAACATAGCAACAATTCTAATACGAAGCCTAACATACAGACTGGAGATGGGAGAACAGCACCGAATGAGAAAATTGAGACAGTGACAGTGAGCATAATGTTAACTCCCATAACATAGGTAAACAGAGCATTCTCTTTAAAATCATACCAATAAAGATCTATGGGAACAACAACAACGTTGTATCAACATATGCTTTCAATTAGAATTAAAAGGGGAGATGGACCAGTTCTGTATGACGTGGACAGCAAATGTAAAAAGAACAGAGAATAACTCAAAACGATTCAATGTCAAAGTGATTGGTGAAAGTAATAAAACATTATATTTGGATGTACGGTCAGTAAAAGAATTAATGTTGCCAAACCAACCTCTTGACTATGAGTTACTGTGTAGTAAATTTGCATATTTAAAAGGTCTTCCAGTGGTAAGTTATTCCGATGCTAAACCTAAAATATTGATTGGCCTGAATAATGCAAATATTACGATTTCACAGAGGGTAAAAGAAAAAAACATCGCTTGGTTGGACAATTTTCGGGCCATGCCCCAACAATAACCCAAAAGCTTACAACATGCACATATGCGAATGCACGGAAAGAGATGACCAAATACAACAGATGGTGAAATTGTTTTATAATATTGAAAGTTTAGGCATGAAAATACTTTGTATTTACCAATTTTTCCAGTATTTAACAGGAATAAGCCCGGAAAGTGTAGAAATGTTCCAAAAAATGTACATTCGTGAAGAAGACCGCCATGTCCAGTGCTTTCTGTGGCGCAATTGTGAGAAAAATAGAGAACCAGATGTTTACATTACGAATGTAATGATAGTTGGTGCTTCCTGCGCACCATGCATCTCACAATACGTAAAGAATATGAATGCACCGAAATTTCAGATCCAACTACCACAGGCTGTTGCAGGGAATCACTATGTAGACGACTCTTTATATATTCAACGGATTCTGTTTACAAGGCCATACAAATAGCAAAAGAGACCCAGTACATACACAATAAAGGTGGCTTTAATTTGCGGAACTGGTGTTCAAACAAAAAAGAGGTAATCGATGAACTGGAAATGAATCAGCAGGACTCCGATAAACAACTAAATATTAGCTCGGACAGACAAACTGAAAAAATTCTCGGAGTTTTTTGGAAACCATCCGACGATACAATTGCTTTTAAAATCTCGCCTTATATTTGGAATAACGAAATTATTCGCGATGAAAAGCCTGTAACCAAACGTCAAATTTTGAAAATACTTATGACAATATATGATCCCTTAGGCCTCATCTGGAATTTTCTTATGTACTTAAAAACAATGAATGAAACAATAAAAGTAGAATGGGACCAGACGATTAATATTGAACAACAAAAAAAAAATGGTGCAAGTGGTTAAAATACCTACCAGAGCTGGAAAAGGTAAGCATGCCACGTTGTTACTTAAAGCAGGGATGCTCAAAACTAAAAATGAATGTGTATTGGTGCGAGAGAGTGAGCGTCCACCTAAAGAAATTTCAGTTAGCATTTGTGAGTTGTTGGCGCCAACTAATGCATAATGCTATTATTATTACAGTGTACTAGCGTATTATAAGGGGGAAATGTTTTGTATAAATACAAATATATAAATTTAATTTTCAACTAAAAGACACAAATAAAAAATTGAATTATTGTAAAAAAAAACACAATTCACTGGTTAATATAAAAATAATCAATATAAAAGTAGTCTAAATAAAAAATGGGGATTTAAGGCTTTTGAAGCAAGGAACATATTACCACATAATAAAAATATTAATATTTACATTTAAAAAATTAATTGTTAGCACATACTAAAATTCAAGACAATAAGCGGAGATTTTTTAATATTTTTTTCTTCAATGTTTAAAAATAAGAGAGACAAAAAAAAATCAAACCAAAATATAATAAGACTTCGATGTCAACAATTCATGCCTCAAAGGCTAAAACAAAAAAAAAATCATAAAAGTAGGTAAATAAATACTGATTAATATTTTCTTTAAAAATAAACAATAAATGAATTCAAGACATTTTGCATTATGTATCAATGAGAAGGATTTTTATCATATACTACCATTACTGAATAAATCATAACCCATCATTATTTTATAAGGTCCTCAATTAATATACTCTTGCAACAATTTCGTATCAGCATAATGCTGCGTAGTTGTGACGAGCTCAACCTATTCCGTTGTTTTGAGCAGAGATATTTTAAATCGGAAAATATTTGTTCACAAAAATATTTTGTTCCGAAGAAGGAAAGGCATTTATAAGAAACCTCTTTAATATGAGGGTATTCCGATGTCTTTATGTTTTTCCAAAATTTAGTGGGTTCCACTTCTATCGGACATTCCATTTTCACTCTATGGTAAATATTGTTTCAAATATGTTATATTCGGCATCTACGCATCTAATGCAAATAGCTAGCTGACAGACATCATTTATGTCTGTGCTCTCATCTAGTGCAAAAGAAAAAAATTCACAGCTATTTAATCTTTGAATTATAGCCGCTTGAACTAATGACCCTATTTGAACGCAATTCCGGGCAACAGTATGCCGAGATAGGGGCAGAGATTCAGCAAAACTAATACCATGCTTAATTTCAACCATAGTTTTATAAATAATATTCTTTATGTATGGACCATCCGAAAAAGGCCTCCCGTGACGTACAATATCTAGGCTAATTATCTTAGAAACGTGTTTCTTTAATGCTTTATCGACCTGACTCCTTTCATCTTCCTCATCCAACCATTCCCTTAACTTATTTAAAAAATATTGTTTTTTTAAAAAAATATTATTTTATGGTTGTAGCATTCTGGCATGTAGATACGCTGAAATGAAAGAATATAAATGAAACGATTGTTTCGCTGAGTGCATCAATGGTAACAATGCGTAGAGTCACACACGTCTTCATTCGTCGGTGTCTCATCGACGACTGATTCTTATTCTCATTGCGAGTTCGTGTTGGTTTGTTTATACTTTTTCGTTCGAGGCTGCCCATGGCTGACTTAAAGACATTCAGTGATTATGGGAATGCTGAATTACAATTACACACGTTCGTGGACGTCAGGCAAATCGGCTATGCTGCAGTGGCTTACCTTCGTATTTCTCTCAATGGAATATAGTCTGCTCATTGATTGGTTTAAAGACTAGAGTAGCGCCACTGCGTATGACATCAATGCCAAATCTAGAGCTTATGACAGCTCTTATCGGCTCTAGATATGCCAATAACATTATTCAAAGTCATTCCATTTCGTTAAAAAGATATACTTTTGGTGGGACTCCAGAACAGTCCTAAGTTGGCTGACAAATAACACCAAAATGTATCACCAGTTCGTTGCTCTTCGAGTAAGCGAAATTCTAGAGACCACAGAATTAAATGAATGGCGTTGAGTTCCAGGTAAGCAAAATGTAGCGGACGATGCAACTAAATGGGCCAAAAGGCCAGATTTATCAAATGAGAGTCGATGATTTACAGGACCTCAGTTTTTGTTGGATCCTACATCCATGTGGCCTAGATATGAGTCCGCAGAACTGGTCGGTCACATAAGTTCACATCAGGATGAAGAAATATTAATCGATGCGCAACGTTTTTCCAATTGGAACCGCCTTCTTAGATCTCTTGCGTATGTGGTGAAATACAAAAATATATTCAGGCAAAAAACAAAAACTGAACGTGAGCTTACATCGAAGGAATTATTTCATGCAGGATGCCTACTATTAAAAATGGCACAGCGAGAATTCTATTCAATGAAACCCAGAGGGAGCCGAATTACATTTTTGTTGATCACCCATTTTCACTCAAAATTTCATCATCAAAGTCAAGAAACGGTTGTCAATGAATTGAGTCAAAAATATTATATTCCACGAATGGGAGTCGCCGTAAAAAATACGATTAAACAATGTCAAGTATGTAAAATAAAAAAGAGCATGCCAATATGTCCACAAATGGCAGAACTTCCATCAGCTCGTCTCGTCGCATTTTGCCCACCCTTTACATATACTGGCGTTGATTTCTTCGGTCCATTAATGATTACAGTCGGACGACACACAGAGAAACGATATGGAGCTCTCTTTACTTGCTTAACATTAAGAGCAGTCCACATCGAAGTATTCAATACTCTGAACACCTCCTCCTGTATAATGACTATTCGAAACTTTATTTCCAGGAGAGGAACACCAAGAGAATTCTACGGTGACAATGGCACTAATTTTGTGAGCGCAGAGAAAGAAATTCGGACTGCAATAAATGATATGGATAAAAATGAGTTTCTTTGTAATTTCACCTCTGCAACAACAATATGGAAATTTAATCCCCCGTCCTCACCACACATAGGTGGTGCATGGGAAAGACTAGTAAGATCTGTTAAGACAGTTTTATACAACCTCCCCCCACTAGAGTACCAAGTGAAGAATTGTAACCAAGTATGCTTGCTGAGGTATAAACATTATTAACTCTCGACCTCTGGTGTATATACCAATCGACAATGAGAATGCAGAAGCGTTAACACCAAACCACTTGTTGTTGGGTTCATCTAACGGTATGAAACCTTTAGCAACATATGACGACACTGGCGTGGCTCTACGTAACCATTGGCTTTGTTCTCAACAATATGCAGATGCATTTTGGCGAAGGTGGGTTAGGGAATATTTACCCAATTTAACGTTGAGATCGAAGTGGCATGAAAAGTCAAAGCCTTGAATATTGGTGACTTGGTAATTGTAGTTGACCCGTCGAATCCTAGAAACGTGTGGCCTAGAGGAAGAATATTGGAGACATCTCTGGCAAAAGATGGGCAAGTGCGAAGTGCAAAAATAATGACATCCGCGGGTATATTGGTGAGACCTGCAAACCGGTTAGCTGTGCTAAATATGGCGAAAAAATAGGAGTATGTCTTCGAAAGCTTCTCGTCATGCTGAGATGGGGGGGTGGTGTTACTGCCACTGGCGATCAACGCACATCACGTCATCTAGTAACCAACATGAATAATTTCAAGTATTGTTTTAAGGAAATTCGATGTCATTTATCGATTATTCATAATTTTTGCTATATCCTCCATTACACTTTATTCCTTTTGTACTAAATTCTACAACAAGAAGATAGATTTTGAGTGCTCAAGCAAGCTCTCTTTCTTTTACAATAGTTCGTCAAGCAGTTAACATACTGCAATAAGAATTAATTATACCTGACGGTTTGAATAATGTATAATTATAATTAGTATGTATAATATATTTTATCCTAAAAAAATTGATTTACCTTAGGAATTAAAACACATGGTTGCGCCAAAATTTGGCAATACGAAATATACATTTTTCAATAAAACTAACCAGAGTTGGCGAATTAATTCAAATCATCAGGGGCTATTGTGAACACTCGGTGAAAATAATGCTCACGTTGTAAAAGATATAGAGACGCATTTATGTCTGTCAATGTTTCAGTACAAATAGAACAAGATTCGTTTATATTAGTTAAACCTAGAGTAAATGTATGAGGAGTTCGTGCTAGAGCCATTATAATTTTCTGATATTCAAATATATTCTAAAAAGTTCTAAATGACACTAGTGTTTTCATACATAGACATGGGGGACTAGGGAGATTTTGAATAATTATAAAAGAAAAGGTCTATGCAGCTGAAGGTAAAGCTTGTTGGTTCATATCATCGGGTCAAACCGAATGAAACCAATATATACTAATTAGTTTGATATAACATTAGACATTGAGTGCGTGGAGCAAATCAACAACGAATTCCGAGTATTATTCAAGATTCGATAACTAAGACTGCGATTATTGAAACATACTATTTTTACCACCTTATAGGATATAAAAATTAAAATAAGACTAAATTCACAGAAAAGTTTTAAAGATAGTAGTCGGTCAATATACTCGATCCTTTTGACATCAAGTAATTGAAAATCCTGATAACCTCTTCAAAGTATCCTCCGAAATAAAGCCTAAACTTAAATTTCCTATTATCTAGTTGAGCTCTACACAGTAATAAAATTTAAATAGGCCGCAACAGCACAGTCAAATTGTACTTATAGAGCCCAACGTTGGGCGCCATTTCTGTAATGAACATACTAACCAATAAATGATATGACTGTTGGTAAGGTGTTACTACCAGGGTTCTGTCGAAAAGAGGACTGCGGGTGCCATTGATCAGCTATGCTTCAGTCGGGTAGGGTGTTATCGTCCTTCTCCACAGAACTAATATTATTACAAAAAATATTCTAGACTCCCTTCTTAGTAAGAAATTTAAAAGAATGAATGAATCAAAAAAAAAAAAAAATGAATCAAAAAAAAAAAAAAAAGACTTCCCCCAAAAAGATAGTGTACCTATTCTACTCTTTAATTCATTTCTTACGTCTCTGTTGTTTTGAGAGGCTTATGCATCTTTACCCACCCATACATTGGTCCTAATAGTGTGGAAAAACTTATTATAGGAACCCATTATTTTATTGGACCTAGATTGTCCCTACCACATCCTTAGTATGAAAACACTGTATTTATATTTACCAGTACATGTTAATTCTGGCTAATATTTATTCAAAGCAAAATGTTTATATTAACTTATAGTAACTAGAAAAATGTCTCAAATATTGAAAAAATAAATATTAAAATTACAAGTACACTATTGGCGTTTTTGTACATATGAGTAATTCCCTTAGTCTAAATGTATTTCAAATTAAATTCCCTCCAATAGTAATGTACAAAAATAGTAGTCTAAAAAATTATTTCTTAAATATCAATATATTACAAAAACCATAGTCTAAATAATTCAAAAAGGTGTAAACCTAAAACGATAAGCAAAAAAATTGATAATATGCAGAAATATCAGATAGATGTAGCAAAATTTTTCAACAACAAAAATATAATGTCCAAAAAGCACTCATTTTACAAAATTATGCACTTCATACTCACCCAACAGCAGAAACGTTGAAGGCCTCCAAAGTATTGTGTTGTGTAATTATGATATTGGTGTGATTGTGTTGCTCTAAAGCCACAAACAAATGGGGTTTGATCAAAACATTTTTACTTGTAACTTGCGCGCACATGTAATTACTTCATTATCTGTATTTCTGCAGCTTAATCAAGAAGTATGATCTAACGACACGATTTTTGATGTTAATTAGGGTGGTTTTAAGGAAGATGATGTTGTGATATAAGTATTAACGACTGCCTTTTTCTCCATATCATTAAATTTATTTAGGAAATAACAACAAAGCTTTGCTAAGACAAAATTTCTTGGTTTTTTAAACCCAATAACAAATCGACTTGTCCCTTTGATTCTAGGGAATCCAAGATTTTCTCTAAAGTAAGACAAACTTAATATCGATCCTAAGAGAACTAAACACATGA